GCCTGCCTGTGCTGACGTGGAGTTCGCGATGGGGGTACCCCTCCCCCCTATACTGCGGGCTCAGTCTGTGGGCCTCGAATTTTCCGGCCGGGCTGGGTACCCAGAGATAGCGCTGGTGTGTGGTTTGCTTCATGTCCCTGTGATCAACATTTATAGTGTCGAGCTGGTGACGGCTCGTCGAGCGATATTGAAGTTTACCGAGGAATTGGCATATTGCAACTTTCTCCTTCGTTACGAGGGGCGGAGATTGCCCCTGCCAGATGGTGCGGGCACTGTCACTATCTGATCAGAGTGGTGCCCTCACGTACGTCAGTGTGCATGGGGCTCCGTTGGAGTTTTCAGAGAGTCTGCTACGGCGGTACTTAGGCCGGTATGGCACAGTGGTTAGTGTGCGGGTAAACATGGTGTCTTCCAGTCCACTTAAGGGTGTGAGGACTAACATTCGCACCCTGGGCATGAGGCTCCGGGAAGATATTCGTTCTCTGTGCGGCTTATGGGCTACAACGTTCGGGTGTTTTATGCCCGCCAGCCTCGGACGTGTTATTGTTGTGGCCTCTTGGGCCATCAGGCTGCTGACTGTTCTGCGCCTGCCATTGCACCCGTGAACCTCTTCAGTGAGGAGGATTTTCCACCGCTTCCTGTGGAGGAGGATTCAGTGGATGTGGACGTCTCTTCAGCCGCTGATGTGCCCCCTGTGTAGCCTGTAGCGCCGCCTGGTGCGCCCCCTGTTGTTGTCGCCTCTCCTCAAGAGGTTGTGGCGTCGCAGGGTGCTCGTCCTGCTCCGACTAGTGTCCCTGGGGTTCTTCAGACTGCCTGCTGCTCGATTCCCCCGTCCTCCAGTTCGTCCTCTGCTGCGTCTGACCCTGTCCCTGCTCCCTTGCCGGCTGTTCCGGCTTTACTGGGTGATGAGGTGGATCCGGCGCTTCCTCCTGTGCCTGGCCTGGTGCCCCATGTGGTTGAGGATGCTGCCGTTCTGCGACGTGCGTCGGTTCGCCCGGCTTGTGTTGCGCGTGTCTCTGAGTCGGCCTTTGGGTCTGATGATGTGCGGCCAGAGCCTAAGCGTTCCCGGCTTTCGTCTTCAGCTTGGGCTGACGTTGGCGATTTCGACGCTTGTGGATCTGCCGGCGACGGAGGGGTGGCTCCAGTTGCGTTGCAGACTATGGTGGTGGCGGAGGTGCATTTGCCTGAGGGTGCCAGTGCCGGTGTTTCGGCCTCCACTTCAGATTTGGTGTCTGCGGTTCCTGCTTCGGGTGCGTCGCCTGCCTCGGATGGCTCCGGTTCTTCGTGGGGGGTGGTTCCCCCTGCTGAGGTTCGCGGTGAGCGAGGTGGCCTGGTGATGGTGTTGAAAAAGACTGCTCGCTCTGGGGGGTTCTGTAACCCCTTCCTCGGTCCCCGTTTCATCGACTGCGGTCTCGACGCCTCTTCCGTCTCCGGCCATCTCTTCAGTGTCTCCTGCGGTCTCGGTGGGGACGTTACCATCTCGTTGCTTGTCCCTTGCTCCTGTGCGTACGGCGACGCGGCCGTCCCGACAGCCCTCGTACGCTTCGTCGGTGTCATCTGCTACCTCGAAGGACGTGGCTTGCGCTCCCCAGCCTCGTTATGCGACATGCGTCGGTGAGCTTCAGGAGTGGCCGTTTCCACCTGATCTGGAGGTTCCCGAGTTTATGCTGGGCCCACGGCGGCAGGGGGATCGTCCCCCCACCAACTTGGAGTATTTGATTTGAGAGGCCTATAAGCGACGGTATCCTTGGGATTCGTTCCCTGATAAATATATTCCTGTCTTTGAGATATGTATTCCTCACTCATGATTCCTTTGTGTATTGTGGTGCATGGTTGTGGGGTGCGGGTCGGGTGTGTGTGTGTGTGGGGTGGGGCAGGTTTGTTTCCCGGTTCCTGCGTGCTCCGGTTTGTGGTTATGGGTTGGTGTGGCTTGTGTGTGTGTCCGGTTCCTGTGCGGTCGGGGGTTTGATTGGTGTGTGTCTGGTTGTGGATGTCGTGCGCTTATGTTATGCTTTGTGGTTCTATGTTTTTTTTATGTTGCTGCTTGTGCGCTTGTTTGTGTCGTGTTAAATGCCCTTCAGGCTGTTGGCGTGACCCGGTCTGGGTTTATGCTTTTTGTCGAGTTTTGCCATTGTGCTTTTCTTTGTTTGTTGTATATTTGTTCCTTTCTAGTTGTTATTTTTATTATTAGTGTTACTGTTATTATTATTGTTATTATTATTATAAATATTTCGTTTTGTGTTGGTGCCTCTCCGAGTGTTTTTCTGGTGCTGGTAGCCTTGTTCTGAATATTTCATATTTTGGTGTGTTATTTCGGCATTGTATTCCACTGTGTTTTAAATTGCTTGTTGTGATTTGTTTGTAATTATTGTTGTTTTGTGGTCGGCCCTTCCGGTCGGCGTTTTTGTGTTTAGTACATTTGTTCCTTTATGTTTTTGCACGTTTGTGCTTTGTTATTTTGGTCTGTTCTATGTTATTGTTTACTTTTATTGTACTTATAAGCATGCTTGCATGTAAAAATAAATAAAAAAAAAAATATATATATATATATATATATATATATATATATATATATATATATATATATATATATATATATATATATATATATAAAATGTGCCGTGTATGTAATTCTACTGTAATTTGATTCCCTTTTTCAGCAGTGAAAGTGGTAACAGGGAGGTTTCCCTAGGTTATAAATAATTATTTAATTATATTGGCCAGCGCTTATTTTACTGTTGTGTTGTATTAAAGTTGTGAACTATTGGGGAAGATAATTTACTTGGGACGTCATTTACAAGTTTTGCCGTGAGTGGCAAGGATGTACTGTGATGTACCATGTGTAAACTGTAGACTGGTTGTGTCCTTGGTGGAAGGCGTTGTGTACTGTGAAGGATTCCGTGAGAATTGAAGTCATTTAACGTCACCGGGAGTCACGATTTACTTAACGAGGTCATTGTTGTGTTGTTGAACTTCGTTGTGATTAACGTAGAGTCGTGTAACGGCAACAGTCACAGTGAAGTTCACGCAGTGGAGGAATTGTCAAGCGAAGACTAACGTAGTGTTAACGATTTAACGAACTGTCGTTAATTGATTGATTAACGTAAGGGGTTGACCGGTCTTTTATGATCGGAGTCAATTGCGCTGTAATTCGTTGGACTGATCAGATCTGTCTGCGGACAGAGTGATTAAGCATTCGTAGCTAATTAAAGAGAATTAGTAACCGCCACCTTGTGAATTCACCAGGTGTTGATGTTGTTGTTTACACAGTGTGTTGTAACCTTGTGTGTGGTACAGTAGTCTACCCTCGTTAAGGTAATTTTGTCGTATGACCGGAAGTGAACTGTCAGTTGAGAGACAGTAGGCTTTGTCAATACTCGTCTGAATTAATAGGCTGTTGTTTTCAGTAATTAATTGGGAACTACTCACCGAATGTTTGACTTTCAAGTTGATGTAATTATTTGGTGTAATTATTATTTGTAACTGGTGGGCACAAAGTAGTGCCCACCAGTGGGCACTACTTTGTTCAGTTAGTGTCATTAGTCAGTCAGCGACGACGGGATAAGGATACCGTGGGTCCATCAGGCTGTTGATTAGCTGTTCTTGAATGTGCCACTGGAGTGACAGTAAAGTAACGTAAACTCTTTGTTGTGGTAGTTCTAGTTTTTTTGTGAATAAATTGTTTGTTATAGAAAACGATCGTTTACGTCAAACCTTCCAATATTACTGTCCCACATGTCATGTTCTGCAACGCTTTGCCTGCTTATGTTCATATCAAGTCTGTATCTAAAGCTCGAGTCCATTGCACAGCACCACACTTCTATAAATAAGAAGTGAGAATCCGTCGGCTACCCTTTATTAGTTGTCAACTAGGTGGAGCCAGCGACCTAAGTGACAGGTGTTACCCGGGTGGTTTCGCCTGGCGGTTTGCTCCCGCGGTCCTATGATCTTAGGCTTTAAGATTAAATATCTGCCATTGGCAGCTCTTGCTGTTTAAGGTCTGCCTCTCTTGCGAGGTAGTTACGATTAACGTGACATCAGTAGGAATTAATTCTTTTGATAATTGTCAAAGAAAAAAATCTCACAATCGTCTGGGAATTGTCTACGAGCAGCCAGGTAGTGTCTGAGACCCCCCCTCCCCAGGCGGTGTCTTCTCGGCCCGTTCTCCCGAGCGTTCCCGCTACCATTTTCAGTACACCAGTTCTTAGTCTTAAGGAAACTATGCGTCAAAATGCGATGTACTATTAAAGTGAACGGGTTAGTCTTCGAGAAACTTAACCAAGTTATGCATAAGCCTTATATAACAATAAATAATTATGTATGAAATATCCAGTTCCCTTCAGATGTATGATTTCCAGCTGTCTTATTCTATACGTCATATCTCTGGTCATCCTCTTAGTTACTTGAACGATAAATACGTATTTGAGAATAATATTCAGCCCAGTAATTATACTAGACAGTGTCCAATGCAGTGAAATATGTGTCCAAGAAATCCAAGGGAGTAAATATGAGGAGTAAAAAATTTAAGGAATTCTCAGCCACAGACTCTTGGGAGAGACATTCACAGTTAGAATTTCATAAAATTAGAAAAACATTAAATCCAAGAAAACCACTTAACGCCTTACCCCTGAATACTTTGCAACGAAGATTAAAGCTGTTACACTGTAAAGCTAAAGGTAAAGACACTGTGTCCATGCCAGACCTCATTCACTGTGTGTACAAAAAATACAAATTACATCCTTTATCTTATTTCTAGTTTAAATTATATCCTGCCGATACAACTGTCAACATAACAGATATTTTAACTTTATATTAAACTTGTCAGGAATAAGTCACCGAGTTTGAAAGATGTACAAATACTGTTGTCATAGTAACAGTCAATAAATAAAAACTAATGACAGCATTCAGTACCCTAGTTTCACATATATATCTGGTTAATATTTTCTTATTGATTCTAACACCGCTAAAAACAATTGTAAATAATACAATAAATAACTTACCAGAGTCCCGTGCTACGCCAGAAGTGGTGGAAGTGGTCCCTGGCGAACCTGCCGTCAATAGCGACCTTGACGTGAGGGAAGCTTCCACTTGCTCTTCCTTCAACCCCCGAGTGCAGCACCTTGTTGTCCAGAGCTGGCTCCCGAGCCTCACCCTCCCGACGCAACACCGTGTTGTCCAGAGCTGGCTCCCGAGCCTCACCCTCCCGACGCAACACCGTGTTGTCCAGAGCTGGCTCCCGAGCCTCACCCTCCCGACGCAACACCGTGTTGTCCAGAGCTGGCTCCCGAGCCTCACCCTCCCGACGCAACACCGTGTTGTCCAGAGCTGGCTCCGGAGCCTCACCCTCCCGACGCAACACCGTGTTGTCCAGAGCTGGCTCCGGAGCCTCACCCTCCCGACGCAACACAGTGTTGTCCAGAGCTGGCTCCGGAGCCTCACCCTCCCGACGCAGCACCGTGTTGTCCAGAGCTGGCTCCCGAGCCTCACCCTCCCGACGCAGCACCGTGTTGTCCAGAGCTGGCTCCCGAGCCTCAGATGTCCCTACAACTGTTTCTACCACTTCGGCAGCTTCAGATTTATTGCTCCTTTGCTTATGAGAATGTTGCAAATAATTCAGACTGTTTTCTGCTTCTTTATTTAGGACTACATCATTATAGTATACACCTCGACCAGGTGGGCTATCATAAGCGACTTTTGAAGGAATATTTGGTGCTAAACCACCTGTCTGTGATAGTGATTTGTGTGCGAGAACACTAATATTCGTCGCCTCCTGGAGGATCAGCGCACGATTAATTGTGCCAGCAGGAAGTTCCTGAACTTCTCGCTGATAGTTTTCTTCCTGCGAGCGGTCACCATGATTGTCGAGGCCCGCCAGACCTTGCACCAGAGTCACTATTACCACAACACTCTCCAACATCATCAACGGTATCAACGCTCACCTGTATATTAACAATCAACCATATTATTACCCAATATTACTGAACTATGTCTTAATCATCAGTGTCATATCGAGGTTGTAATGTATGCCGACTAGTCATATATATACCACGGAGGAAGAATTGAAACAGGAATATCCTTAAGTACTTTCGTATATTAATACATCTTCAGAAGGAAAGAATTATTTACAAGTCAAGTATTGGACAAATATATATGCAGGAGAGAGAGGTGAGGTACACTGAAAAATGAATGGGAATTAGGTGGATACAAATAAGAGCCGCATAAGAACTGCAGAAGGCCTATTGGCCCATGCGAGGCAGTTCCTATTTATACCCATCCACAGGCCCACACACATGGATGACAATTTCATACGATAGTAAATATTTACAATGAATTAATGAGACAAATGTGTATCAATGATCCTACTCAAATCACCTTTAATTGATCTATCAAAAATAGATTTAAGTTATATAAACCACTGCTAATGTTCAAATTACATTTATTTGTAATGTGTATTAAAGCAGATTCAATTATGTTCCTGTTAAAAGTGAATTTAAATTCGTTATTAAAGCCATCTCCCAATCAATTCGGTGAGCATTTTCTGACAAATGATATATATATATATATATATATATATATATATATATATATTAGTATATTTTGGTTCAAGAATTTGTAATCTTCTTGCATCTTGGGTTTTGTCTATTATACAAGTATTTTTGTTCAACATTTCTCTTGTTAGGGTGATGTCATGGACATGTCCCATGTGATTCCTAGGGGCACCAGATCGAAGATGACATATCAAACGCCTCGTCAGCTTGGTCGACGTCATACCTATGTACTTAGATTGAAGGTTACATCCTTCGTGGGGGCAAGTGTTCATGTATACAATGCTTGACTGCTGTAGAGGGTTCTCCGTCGGCTTCGGGCTGTTTTTGATAAGGAGTTCGGAAGTCTTCTTGGTTTTGTAGAATATTATCAGGTCTATGTTTTGGTTAGGAGTAATGCTTTTTACTTCTTTACGGATTATTTCTTTCATTATTCTTTCCTCTTTTTTTTATGTTCACTGTGCATGGTTGATTTGTAATATAATTTTATCGGAGGTATTGTGGTTTCTGTTCTAGGTTCAGGATTATACCATCGGTCCAAGTGTCTTCTTATAGTTTTCTTTCTGTGTCCCATGACTGCATCCTCCTGGAGGCCCCCATTGGCCCGCAAGCAACTGAGGAGGTCCTGGATGCAAAAATCACTCACCTAAGGATGATGTTGGACAGGAGTGAAAAGACTGATCCTCATGATGCTCTCCTCCTCGCAAGATGCCTATCCTTCCCTAAGTTCACTTACTTACTGAGGTGTTCTCCATCCTACAGCAGCCCTAAATAAACAAGTATGACACCCTTCTGAAGTCTACGCTGGAAAAAGTCCTGAACCTCCCATTGGACTACTCTCAATGGGAGCAAGCTACCCTCCCTTTAAGACTATAGTCTTAGTGTCAGCACAGCCTCTCAGATTGCTCTACCAGCCTTCATTTCCTCACCCCGTGTATCAAGCGACTTTATATGAGATATCCTTCTAAAACCTCTTAGTGATTCAGCAGAGATACACGATCCTGATTTTACTGAATACTCAAATCAGTGGGTTGCCCCTGAAGCCCCAGCACATAGATCCAACAAAAACAACTTTGGATAGGCAAACAGACCGAACAAAGAGCCAGAGTTCAACCCCCACAAGCACCAAGTACAGACAAAACTCTAACATATTTTCTCTTATAGTAGAGGTATATATATAGGTTCTAAGAATGATTGCAAAAATTAACTTTATAAGCAGTCTGTTCATTTGTGGGAGAGCAGTTTTACCTAATATTTTTTTGGTTATAAAACTACAATTTTTGAAGCTTGTTCATTTCTTATTAAAAACGTAAAATTTTCTTCAAACATTTTTAAGATTATATACAAAATAATTCCAACTGTCAACCTTATTTTAAGTATATTTTATCCCTACCATAACTTTAATTTCTTCTTAAAACTACACTAACATCTTCGTGTCCTTAATGTCACTTCGAACTAGTAACGAGAGCGTCTGCGTCTGCGTATGTTCAACACAATGGGTTAGTTTACTGCAGGCAACCTGCGCACGTATTTTCAACTCAATAGTTATCTACAGTAGTGCCTAATATGATTTTCTTAATTCCACCATCACTTAAATAAACATTAAATTAATGCAGTAACACACTGGTCAATGTTAACAAAATAATATTGAATAATTATATCATCACTCGGTATAAGCAAGTTTCATAGAGCAGAGAACAGTGAGCTGCCTGTCCTTAGTGACGGGTGCAGCTGAACTGGCCTCCCGTCCCCTTACCCGTGTCCACTGTAGTGGCTCCCACACCCCCCCCCCCAAGTGTCTACTGAAGAGGACTAACCACCCCAGTGTTCGCTGTACCTGCCTCCCACTCCCTCACCCCAGTGTTCGCTGTACCTGCCTCCCACTCCCTCACCCCACTGTTCGCTGTACCTGCCTCCCACTCCCTCACCCCAGTGTCCACTGTACCTGCCTCCCACTCCCTCACCCCAGTGTCCACTGTACCTGCCTCCCACTCCCTCACCCCAGTGTCCACTGTACCTGCCTCCCACTCCCTCACCCCAGTGACCACTGTACCTGCCTCCCACTCCCTCACCCCAGTGTCCACTGTACCTACCTCTCACTCCCTCACCCCAGTGTCCACAGTACCTGCCTCCCACTCCCTCACCCCAGTGTCCACTGTACCTGCCTCCCACTCCCTCACCCCAGTGTCCACTGTACCTGCCTCTCACTCCCTCACCCCAATGTCCGCTGTACCTGCCTCCCACTCCCTCACTCCAGTGTCCACTGTACCTGCCTCTCACTCCCTCACCCCAGTGTCCACTGTACCTGCCTCCCACTCCCTCACCCCAGTGTCCACTGTACCTGCCTCCCACTCCCTCACCCCAGTGTCCACTGTACCTGCCTCCCACTCCCTCACCCCAGTGTCCACTGTACCTACCTCTCACTCCCTCACCCCAGTGTCCACTGTACCTACCTCCCACTCCCTCACCCCAGTGTCCACTGTACCTGCCTCCCACTCCCTCACCTCAGTGTCCACTGTACCTGCCTCTCACTCCCTCACCCCAAAGTCCACTGTACCTGCCTCCCACTCCCTCACTCCAGTGTCCACTGTACCTGCCTCTCACTCCCTCACCCCAGTGTCCACTGTACCTGCCTCCCACTCCCTCACCCCAGTGTCCACTGTACCTGCCTCCCACTCCCTCACCCCAGTGTCCACTGTACCTGCCTCCCACTCCCTCACCCCAGTGTCCACTGTACCTGCCTCCCACTCCCTCACCCCAGTGTTCGCTGTACCTGCCTCCCACTCCCTCACCCCAGTGCCCACTGTACCTGCCTCCCACTCCCTCACCCCAGTGTCCACTGTACCTGCCTCCTACTCCCTCACTCCAGTGTCCACTGTACCTGCCTCTCACTCCCACTCGTCTTACACCATGTGTATGAGAATAGATTTCCAGCTAGCTTACAGATGTGCGGTAGACGCTAGATTTATCTTATTTGGTGTCTGTCGGAAGTAGTGGACATTAGCTCTTCAGAAATATTAATGCCGCAGTAGTTTTTTCTCAAGAGAATTACAGCAACTTGAATAAGGTTATCATTAGTTATTTCTAAGGTTGAAACTATATACATTTAGAGTGACGTGGTTCTGGCAGGAGGTTGTGGTCGCTATGACCAAGGACTCGGACCACCTGTGTAAACACCCAGGCCTCCTGACATGACGTCACGGACATCACGTGACCAGAGGGGAGGGAAGGCACTGATTGGGAGAGGGATTATAGCGGATGAGCCTCTATAATCCCATTCTCTGATTGGCTCTTTCGAAGAGCAAGAGGGAGAGTGTCGAGGGGAGGCCGCCAGCAGGCAGGTAGCACTCACTCTAGGACTGAAAGTTTTGCCTGTTCGGTTAAGACGTGAAATCTGGAGCTCCGGCCAAGCTGTGGAAATCACCGTCTGTACGCGACTTTATACGTAACTCGTTATCGCTATTTGGTCGTTGCGTTTTCGTCGGTCAGAATCTGTTGCCGTGACGTCTGGATTTTCGATAATAAGTGTGAAAAGAGATATTGAGGAAGACTCCACTCATGATCACTCGTAGAAAGCAACTGGTCTGCTTAAGTAATCCGTGATCATCGGGTTTAATTACAGCAATCCCTCAACATACCACTAAGTGAACTGTCTAGAAGGAAGTTAAGAAAGGATTCCCAGAAATCTAAAGTTTAATCCGTGTGAATAACGTAATTTAAGAACAGTTCTGTGGACTGTTCTGTTTCCCACCAGCTGTGCTTGTCACCTGGTGTGCTTAACACGTGGTTACCCCCTTGTGTAGGCCACCCACTCACCACCGCGTGTCTGAGGACCATCATTCCTCCCTTCTGCCTAGCGGTGACTCAATGCGCTCCTCCACTCACCACCTGGGAGCAAGCAAATTCCACCCTTATGACCCAGAAGCACCATGTGGGCTGCCTTCTCAGTATCCCACTGGGATGTGCGAAAAGTCTCTGTTGTGGCACGCCAGGTACACCTCGCCACCTGCACACACGTGGCGGCGAGGTATAGCTATTCACCACATTCAAGATTCTCAAGGGAATCAACAGGGTAGATAAAGACAGGCTATTTAACACAAAGGGCACACGCACTAGGGGACACAGGCGGAGACTGAGTGCCCAAATGAGCCACAGAGATATTACAAAGAACTGTTTTAGTGTCAGAGTGGTTGACAAATGGAATGCATTAAGAAGTGATGTGGTGGAGGATGACTCCATACAAAGTTTCAAGTGTAGATATGATAGAGCCCAATAGGCTCAGGAACCTGTACACCTGTTGATTGACAGTTGAGAGGCGAGACCAAAGAGCCAGAGCTTAACCCCCGCAAGCACAATTAGGTGAGTACACGTGGTCTCGCAGGACTTACTACGTGTTGATGGGTCGAGTTTGGTCTTCACTCAACGGCTGAAAATAACTGAGTGTATGGAGGTTTGAATATAAAAAATGTTATCCAAAGTGAACACTCATATAATATTTCTGTATCCTTGTTGTTGGTGCAATATCTCGTGTTGATTTTCATTACTCAGCCACTCGGCTGTAGTGTCTTGGATTGAGCCTCAAACGGGCAGTGAAAACTAGTTGAGGAAGCACATGCGAGGGACAAGTACAGTACATCTTTGTGATTACTGTAACTCGCCTCTTGCTGCGTATGTTTACACGTTTTTACACATTTAAATAGAAGTTGCAAGTTAAACTATTGTGTGTATCGTTGTGGTGCGGTACAAAGTAATACCAATACTGTTATTTATGGTTCACTGTTGACATTCAAACAAACAATTTCCCTGAAAGGTTCAGACGAAGCTTACAAGAGTTAAGAGCCGACCCTTCCATTCATATAACATAGGTTGATAAATCCAGCACTGATGTTATTCTAAACAAGGTTGGAATATATTTCCAAAATTAATGATCTCCAAGATTCTTCAACATACACCAAACTCGGGAAAAATCCGCTTGATGACATCATCAAGTTCTTCAATAGCAGCTTGAGGAAGTTATTAAGTAACCATAAAGATCTTCTTAATCAGTTTAGTACCTCATCTCCTTCTTTACCATATCTCTATGGACTTGTCAAGACTCATATGCCTAACAATCCCATGAGGCCTATCATCAGTTCTGTGGGATCCATTTCTTACAAGCTTTCTAAATGGCTTACCAAAATCTTGTCCCTGTGAGATTTTTATTTTCTTGACAGGTTATCAAAGAAATTGAGTCCTATGGATGTTACGTTAATCGTAACTACCTCGCAAGAGAGGCAGACCTTAAACAGCAAGAGCTGCCAGTGGCAGATATTTAATCTTAAAGCCTAAGATCATAGGACCGCGGGAGCAAACCGCCAGGCGAAACCACTCGGGTAACACCTGTCACTTAGGTCGCTGGCTCCTTCTAGTTAACAAACTAATAAAGGGTAGCCGACGGATTCTCACCTCTTATTTATAGAAGTGTGGTGCTGTGCAATGGACTCGAGCTTTAGATACAGACTTAATATGAACATAAGCAGGCAAAGCGTTGCAGAACATGAAATGTGGAGCAGTAATATTGGAAGGTTTGACGTAAACGACCGTTTTCTATAACAAAACAATTTATTCACAAAACAAGAACTAAAACTACTACACATTGAATTTACGTTACATTACTGTCACTCCAGTGGCACATTATAGAACAGCTAATCAACAGCCTGATGGACCCACGGTCTCCTTATCCCGTCGTCGCTGACTGACTAATGACACTAACTGAACAAAGTGGTGCCCACTGGTGACGCAAGCTTGCAATCAATATTGTCACGGCTTCACGGTGACCAATACTATAATCACAAAAACTTGACTAGCGCTCGCTGCCCACAACGAGGTACCAAGTAACAAGGCGGTTAATCCAAGAATGATAACCCCTTATAAACAATCTTACGTTAACACTTGTCTCTCAGGACAACAAACAAAAGTTACTCTAATTGAATTTAAACAATTACGTTAATACACACGTGTCACAACGACACTTAAATGGCACCAATAACTCGTAAGTCAATTAATTACATCAACTTGAAAGTCAAGCATTCGGTGAGGACGTGCCTTTACACGTCCCTACGTTAATCACAACAATGTTCAACGAACAAGTGACCTCGTTAAGTAAATCGTGACCCCCGGTGACGTTAACTGACTTTAATTCTCACGGAATCCTTCACAGTACACAACGCCTTCCACCAAGGTCAAACTTGTCTACGGTTTACACACGGTACAACACAGTACATCACAGTACAACACAGTACACCCTTGCCACTCACGGCAAAACTTGTAAATGACTTCCCCCAGTAAATTATACACCAATAATTCACACTCTACCACAACACAACAGTAAAATATATAACCAAGGGAAATCTCCCTGTTACCACTTTTCACTGCTGAAAAAGGGAATCAAATTACAGCGAATACATACACATAGAAAATTAACATGGAAGTAAATAACTCACTTTACCTCTGAATGTGTCACTAGGTGTCTTCACACAAGTCATAAATCACAGTTGGGCCCAATCCTCAACTTGATGACAAACAGGGTAGACTCACACGTCTCCAATTCCCATTCACCTCCCCAGGTGGTCCCAGGGACAGAGGACAGACGGAACACTGGGGGCGAACCCAGCTTCAGAGTTTTATTACCCAACGGAAACAGTGTACTTACATTAATGATGTACTGGGGCCCCTCTTTCACTCACACATAC